ATCCCACAGCAACCCACAGAACCTCCACCAGACGAACCTCGCTCCACCAGAACTTTGTACCGGAGGTACACGGGACGAGCTGTCAAGGTTGCACTCCCAAATCAGCGAAAAGTGAAACACAATCACTGAATGACTTACTTGTGTTGCACGCCATGCCTGCCTGCAAGGATTGCGGACACTGGCTTCCTACAGCCTCCGGTTTGAACAAACATGTTGCTGGTTCGAAAGCTTGCCATCAGAAGTGGCGAGACCGCCTGAAGAACTTTAGTGTTGATGTCTTTGACTTGGGTGGAGGATATTCAGCCACGGCTCCTGATGCAGAAGATGAGAATGATTCAGATGATGGTGGTATTTATGAGAGTGGAATCGGAGCTTACCAAGAATATGACGCTCCAACGCATGACGTGCCCCTCCAAGTTGATGGCAGCCAGCAAGCTCGTGTTGAAGAAGTGCCAGATGAACCTGGGCCTGTCAGCAATGACACACGATGGATCGAAAGCTATGCTGCTCACCACGGGGCAGGTGCTCCATGCGGAGAAGTCGATGAAGTCACGCCGACCAAATTTGATCAAATTCGACAACAGCTGGAGGCCGATGGTGCACCGTGGGGACCATTTGACAATGAGGAAGAGTGGGAGTTAGCGAAGTGGCTGATCCAAAACATCGGACAAAATCAAACCGACAAGTTCCTAAAACTACCTATTGTAAGCCTACCAAGCGCCAAACCTAAATTCAAACTGACACTCACCTCTCAGATCCAAAACCGCGCACAAGTGTCTTACCCAAACAACCGCAATTTCCTGAAGAAGATCGATGGTTTGCCAACGAAGGGCCCAGAGTGGCACTGTGACATCATCAGTGTGGCGGGGGACCAAGTCGACACCAACGGAGATATGATGTCTGCTGAATTGGAGCTGTGGCAGCGCGACCCTGTCGAGTGTGTGCGAGAACTGATGGGGAATCCGACGTTCCGTGAGAAGATGGCATATGCCCCCGAGCGAGCATATGAGGATACTGAAGGTACAAGGAGGATATATGATGAAATGTGGATGGCTGACTGGTGGTGGGATACTCAAGTGAGTCATTAATAGCGCTACGCAAAATTGAGAGACTTACTTGTGGTCATCGATAGGGCAAGATGCCCAAGGGTGCAACCATTGCACCAGTGATCCTTGCCTCCGATAAAACATTGTTGTCCCAATTCCAAGGAGACAAATCAGCGTGGCCAGTATATTTGACGCTTGGGAACATCGAGAAGGCAACACGAAGGCGCCCAAAACAGCATGCAGCCATTCTGCTCGGGTATCTCCCAGCGGTCAAACTGGACTGCTTCAGCAAGGGCACCCGTTCTGTTGCAGGGTATCGGCTCTTCCATGAATGCATGCGACGCTTGCTTGAACCGCTAATTGCTGCAGGGCATGATGGAGTCGAGATGGTGTGTGCGGACGGGTGCATCCGACGAGTACACCCAATCCTGGCAGCATATGTTGCAGACCACCCCGAACAGTGTTTGGTGGCCTGCACGAAGGAGAGTTTTTGTCCGAAATGCCGGGTCCACAGAGATGACCGAGGCGAACCACTGGCATCGCTTTGTCGAGACCAAGAGCGCACCACATACTGCAGTCACTTTACCCTTGATAGAAACAGACAGCCGAGGTTGAAATATCCCTGTTCTACACAGGCCAGCGGATGTGGGCCGATGAATGTATTGTTCTGTTAAATACAGGTGGGCCGACACCAAGTATTTATCTGATACAATCAATGGGCCCATGGTGTGTGGTATAGTAGATAAGTGTAGACATTCTATTGACTTTGGTAGATAGTGTATGGTAGGTATTGTATGAAATATGTACCTGATATGAACGGGTCGGCTGGTCGGGAGTGTGTATCTGATACCAACGGGTCGGCCGGTCAAAGAGTGTAGTATGTAGTGTAGTAGATAAGTGTAGACTTTTCTATTAACCTTGACAGGTAGTGTAAACAGTATGTACCTGATTTGAACGGGTGGGCCGAATGGGCAGTTGTGCCGATATGTACAGATGGGCCGAGGTGGTATAGATCATGCCCCGGACCCCCTCGGTAAAAAGATGCTCGGTAACATAGCCCCTCGGTCAAAAGATGCTCGGTGACATACCCCCTCGGTAAAAAGATGCTCGGTGGTATATCAAGAATATGTCGGTCAGTCAACATGTTGAGATTGAGTACATATCATCCGCAACATACTTGCAAAGTCAAATCACAGTGAAATCGGTCGGTCGGTCAG